AATCTGGCTTCCCCGTTGACTTTACTTGTCAGAAGGGTGCAAAAAATGAACACATGACCTTGGGCAGTGGTGGGTTCTGGATTCCGTTCTAACCGGTATGGTTGGAACGGCCCTGGTGCCACCCACATGCACGCATGGGGTGCGCGTTTGCATTGTACTTGCCTGCGACGCTTCCAAAAACCTCCGGGATGCTCCAGCTGCTCGGCGGAGTGCTGCACAGGCACCGTACATGCCATGTGCGTGCACAGAAGCGCCAAAAGCTTAAAGCACAGGTAAGGAGCGAGGGCGGGCGAGTGTGCCCTTTGGAGCACCATACCGGAATGGTATCTGGTGCTCCGGGCTGGCTCCGGTACCCCTGTAGAAACTGAGGACTACCTGTATTAAAAATTCAAGCACAAGCTCTCAAAATATTTCTTGCATGCAAATTTGCATAATGATTCAATAACCCTATCACCTTTTACAATTCATTAGAAATAGTAACTTTGGCAAATCTCTGAATAAATGACAGCAGTTAATTATATTCCAATTTTTGGAGTTGTTTTTCATGTTTTTCTTACATTGCTATTATCATTCTTTTGTCATTTCATCATCATCACCATTAGAAGAATTAAAAAACCTACTGCTCATTGCATTATAATTGATAAATTCATGGTTATAATGAAGCCCTACCAAGTCACAGACTTTTAGCATAGACTACATAGTGAAACATAAAATGCCAAGCAGCCCAATCTATACACAGTTTTATTCTAAACTTGATAAATTTTTCCGTAACAGAAAATACCAATCATCTGGCTTCTAATGGTTCGCTTACAGATTATGGAATAATATATAGCCATATTAGCTAGAAATTAAAGAAAATGGCCAACAAAACTGCTATGCAATTTTGAAAAGTCACCATCTTTATTATATTGATTTTAATTAAAAAAATTTCTAGCCCATTTAACTGTAAAAAGTCATTACAAAAACTAGGATATTCAATTCATTTATTTGGAATCTTTATAAGCTGCCTCAATCCATATGGATTCCGTGAAGCAAATAACATTTCCAATGTTATTTGTTCAACATGAAACAAATGACTGTCAGAGATAAAGGTTATCATCTCCTCCTTATAGTTTACACGGGGTCCCCAAATCCATGACCCGTCAAAAGCGCGTTCCACAAAAGCGCGGTCGACGAAATCGCNGATAGAGATGGAGAGATTATATATAGAGACAGAGAGAGATAAGATATAAATGGATAGATGATAGATAGGATATAAATGGAGAGATGATAAAATAAAGATGGAAAGATAAGTAGATGATAGACATAAATTTGTAGTGTAATAATAGATGATAGATTGATGATAGATTAATAGGGAGTGCAGTGATAGATGATTAGTAGATATGTAAACAGAGAGGTAACAATTTCGTTTTATTTATTTTGCACAATGACAATAAAGGCTATACTATAACAAAAGAGAGACTAGAGAGAGAGTGAATTAGAAGTTGGAGGATAGAGAGAGTGGACTAAACGGGATAGGTAATAGAATAGGTAGGAGCTAGACAGAAGAGATAAAAGATGTATCTTCTAAGTAGATAGAGTAGACATTAGATACATTGATATAAAAGCTAGAAAGAGAGGTGAGAGTTAGGCGGATACACATCTTACTCTGCACATATATTTCTATCCATATATTTGTATTCTTTAGAGCAAGGATAATATTTAAAAAAAATAAGTAAAATGGATACAGAGACAAAAGTGGAAGGAAACTCTGATTTGGAGATCAGATTTGGAGTGTTGGAGAATGAATTAAGCCAGTGTTTCTCAAACTTCGCAATTTTAAGATATGTGGGCTTCCCTTTCCCAGAATTTTGGCTGGAGAATTCTGGGAATTGGCATCCACACATCTTACAGTGGGCAACTTTGAGGAACTCTGGATTAAACAAAACTAACATTTTTATAGCTCGGGTTAGAACAACAGTGTTCCCTTCCCCTGTCATAAAATCTAAACAGGTTGGAATACGATGCAGGAAATATCCAAAGCTTTCTGCTTCCTTGGCCATAAGAATGTTATGATAGTTAATTCAATAGCCCAATTTCAGAAAAACAGAAAGGAATAACAGAGTTGGAAAGGACCTTGGAGGTCTTCTAGTCTAACTCCCTGCTTAAGCAGGAAACCCTACACCACTTCAGACAAATGGCTATCCAACCTCTTCTTTAAAACTTCCAGTCTTGGAGCATTCACAATTTCTGGAGGCAAGTTGTTCCACTGATTAATTGTTCTCACTGTCAGGAAATTTCTCCTTAGTTCTACGTTGCTCCTCTCCTTGGTTAGTTTCCATTTATTAATTCTTCTGCTTTGGAGAATAGCTTGACTCCCTCTTCTTTGGGGCAGCCCCTGAGATATTGGAAGACTGCTATCATGTCTCCCCTAGTCCTTCTTTTCATTAAACTAGACATCCCCAGTTCCTGCAGCCGTTCTTCATATAGAATCATTTCATTCTCTTGATATCCTGCAACCTTCAGGTCAAAATGATTCTTCCCCTACGTCGGAGGGTACAGTCGCTTTCAATTAATGTTTTAGAAATGACCAAGGATTCATTTCCTGGCCTCAAACCCTGATGTGACGCTCCTTCGTTTTCAACACAGCCCCTTTGCACGCTCCAGTTGTAGGGAAAGGATCTGGATTTCAAAGCCGTCTCAAGGTTCCTTGTGGTTAAATGTCACCTTCTAATTCTTCAAGATCCTTGATTTATTCCTTTGGAGGGGATCAGGAAGAACTGTGAAGCCATTCCCTGGAGTGTTACTAACGGACAGGACCCAATCCTCTTATTATTACGCACGAAAACTGGAGACCATCCCCCCTTTTCCTAGAACACCCCCCCCCAAACAAGCTACCCATATGTGCATGAATATGCATGAACAAAAGCAACCCCCCATCCTTTGTGCGAGGTTTACAACACCAGATTGTGGTTTCCCTCTCTCCCAGAGTAACCGTTACAAGCCAAACAGAGGCAACGGTTGTGGGGAAAGAGTTGCTATGTAGCAGGTGGAGGGTGGGAAGTGGTTAAGGATCCTGGCTCCCCCCGCCCCCTGTCCCCCAGCGACTCTTCTTCCAGCCTGATCCATGAGCTTGAGCCAAGCAGGCTTCCCAAACCCTGCAAACCATCCTCCCCTCCTGCCCTACTCACAGCGATTGTCACCCTGATGGCGGGACCTTCTGCGAGGAGATGCACCGGTGGGGGGGGGGGAACCTGGCCAGGAGGTGCCGAGTGTCCAACGGAGACTGTAGGATCAGCCTGCCTGCAGGAGGAGGAAGCGGCTCACGAGAACATCCCCGAGCGGGCCTGCCTGCCTTGACGGAGACAAAAGGCTTGCCTTCGGCCAGCTGCTACTGCTGCTGCTCTCTTTGTTGTTCTCCGAATGCACCTGCCTGGCGGCCCAGATGGTTGTGCCCATGCTCGGTGCAACTCCAGGCTGGGGGGAAATCACGTGATGGTTCCCTGTCAGCAGAATGGAGCTCTGGAGAGGGTCTGCTGGCAAAGGAGCAGCCATACACCGGGATCGGTGCACGCACGGGGGGTGTTGCCTGAAACAGCGCCAGCCGTTGATCAGCCTGATCAAAAAACGCAGCCTGGTGGCTCACAGATCCTCCGATGTGGTTGGCACAGGTGTGCCACAGAGGAGGAGAACAGGTGTCAATAGTATAGACCCCGTGATGGCAAAGCTATTGCACGGGTGCCACAGGGGGGGCACGCGGTGCCCTCTCTGTGGGCACTCGAGCCATCACCCCAGTTCAGTTCCACCATTCATCCGTGGGCACCTCCCGCCAGCCAGCTGGTCTTCGGGTCTCTGCTACACATGCGCAAGGGGTGGGGGCACATGTGCAGGGGAGATGCACATGCGTGGGGCATGTTTGCAGACATGGGGCACATGCGGGACATGCAAGAATGCATGAGGATGCGCGGGGGGCTATGCACACATGCACGGGGCAGGGTGCATGCAGGAGGGCAGCACGCGCATTGCATTTGGGGGGTTTGGGCACTTGGTCCGGAAAAGGTTCGCCATCACTGGTACAGCCTTTATTGTCATGTATACAACCAAATTGGTTTTAGCCTCACTGGTGCAATCCGTGGCAATAAATACAAACAACATAAATAGCATAAAGAATAATCCCTATGCAAGTAAAAAGAAAGAAAAAGAAAAACTAGTCATTCATTTCCCCTTGTGCGTGGAGTGATTGTGGTTGTGTTTAAGGGTTCCACCACAAAACCGCGTTCGACTAAAGGGTGCTTGACGAAACCTCGTAGCTGACGTCATCACAGGGCGACAACAGCGCGGAGACAGAAGCACGCTGTAAACGCTAAACCTAAAATTAACCCCTAAACCTAAACCTAANGTGAGTTGTTCCTGGATGCACAGCACCGAAGAGCTAATAGGCGTCAGGAACAGTTGCACAGTTACAGGAGGTAATTGCACTCAGCTGGTGGTCATTAGGCTCCTCTCCAGACTATAAAAAAGACTAATTGCGCACACGCCTCTCTTGCAGAAGTCAATGCAGGATCGAATGTCGGAGAACATTGTTATGAGCTTGGCAGGCTGGATTGCTGCAAAGCCTTTTCTATGTTTATTGCGGCCCAAGCTTGTCTGTGCTGGTTTGGTGCCAAGGACCCGTCTGTCTGTTAATTAAATGCCGTAACTTATCTTTGGCTCGGAGTGTGCTTTGGTGTGGAACGAGGGGGGTCAGAACACCTTTGTATTCGTTTTGTTTTACTTTAGTGTGAACACCGCTCATCAATCCTTTTTTTCAGGAGACTGTTTACTCATCTAGTCATCATCTCCTTTTAACGACCCCATAATCCCTTGCGGGTTGAAGTCTGGGCAACTGAATGGAGCTGCGTGTTTACTGGCCGGATGCCATTCCCTGTTGCCAGTATGGAGTTTTGTTCAGCAGATACATTCTCATTGTGCCCAGAGAGAGAGAGAAATATCTGCCTCTACCTAGGATTGAACTCACAACCTTCTGATTGTGAGGCGAGAGCTCCGCCTCTAGGCCGCCGCACCACTCCGTTTACTCACCCAGGGGCAAGATGGAAAGGTATTTGCCACGGAACTTGCTGGCGATGGTTATCTCCTGCCACAGCGTCCAGCCTCGCCGGGAGTATACGTGATGAGCAGCTGCTGGCGGGTGATGGCTCACCTGGAGGAGAGGAAACACACCTTAGCAATAGCAATAGCAGTTAGACTTATATACCACTTCATAGGGCTTTCGGCCCTCTCTAAGCGGTTTACAGAGTCAACCTCTTGCCCCCAACAATCCGGGTCCTCATTTTACCCACCTCGGAAGGACGGAAGGCTGAGTCAACCTTGAGCCGGTGAGATTTGAACAGCTGGACTACAGAACTGCAGTCAGCTGAAGTAGCCTGCAGTGCTGCATTTAACCACTGCGCCACCTCGGCTCTCTACCTTGATGGCATCCGCTGCCTAAAACTGCAGGTAATTCTCCAAGCAAGATCCTCGAAGTTCTCTTTAGCAAGATTTATTGAGATGACCGGGAGCGGGAAGATTAACAAGAATTTTCAGTACGGGTAGTCCTCGGTTTACGACTCTAATGGCGCCCCAATTTTCTGTTGTTAAGTGAGACAATTGTTACGTGGGGTTTGCCCCATTTTATGACCTTTCTTGCCACGGTTGTTAAGGGAATCGCTGCAGATGTTACATTAGTAACGCAGTTGTTAAGTGAATCCAGGCGCCCTAGGGAATTGGCTCGTCAGAAGGTCGCAAAAGTTGATCACATGGGGGATGAATTGTATTGTATTGTATTGTATTTATTTAGCTTGTATGTTGCCCTACTCTAGAAAGACTCAGCTAACAATAAAAAGGGAAGGGGGATACAAGAATAAAAAACAACAGTTAAAATTCAGCAACAGTCATAGCATAGGGTAGGGCTGGATAATTCAACAGCCCCAGGCCTGCCGGAACAGCCAGGTCTTGGCTGCTTTGCAGAAGGCTAGAAGGGTAGTGAGGGTCCGGATCTCAACGGCGAGATCGTTCCAGAGGGCCGGAGCAGCCACAGAGAAGGTCCTCCCCCGGGGGGTTGCCAGCCGACATTGGCCGGCAGATGGAATCCGGAGGAGGCCTA